AGAACCGAGGAGAAGGGATTGCGGCATGGCCATCCCCCCTGGGGGGGTGATTTCTCTCTTTCTGTCTCTCTGTCTCTGTCTTTCTGGCGAGTGCATGTACCCTATAGCAAAAACCTCTCCAAAAAAAAAGCAAATATTCTGGAGACCAGCATATGGAGTAATGGAAATGGTTATCTCACTGGACTCTCACATAGCCAACTGAGGTTCGAGCCCCAGATTCAGCAGCTTAAAATTCACACTGGGTACATGTGCGCATGTGTCCAAAATTGGAGAGGAGAATGGAGGAGAAGGAATTGCAGCGTGGCTATCCCCCCAGGGCGTAATTTCTCACTTTCTGTCTCTAGTCTCTTCAGCGAGCACATGGGCCCTATAGCAAAAATCTCTTGGGGAAAAAAATGTGGATGTTCTGTTCATCATGGACTTAGGTGAGTAATTTTTATTTTTAAAATGTTGCATTAGGGGCCAGCAGGTGGTGTGATTGAGGGCATTGAACTCACACATGACCAACTGTGGTTCAAGTCCTGGACCTGGTGGCTTGTTTTTCACTTTCCCTCTCTTTCTGTCCCTCTCTGGTCAAATTAAAATAAACTAAGTTAAATAAAATAATGATTTAAGGGGCCAGCAGTTGGTGTAATGGCTATGTTGCTGGACTCTCATGTAAGTGACCAGTTCAAGTCCTGGACCTGGTGGCTTAAACTCAGGCCAGGTGTGTGTGCGTGCGTGCCCAAGATCTGGAGAGGAGAATGGAGAAGGGATTGTGGTGTGGCCATCCCCCCCTGGGGAGTGATTTCTCACTTTCTATCTCCCTGTCTCTCTCTGTCTTTCTGGCAAGTGCACGTGCCCTATAGGAAAAACCTCTCCAAAAGAAAATTATTTAAAAAAAATAAAATGTTGCACTAAGTTGGAGTCAGCTGGTGGTGTGGTGGTTAAGGCACTGGACTCACACACGGCCATGTGGTTTGAGTCCCAGACCTGACAGCTTGAAAAATCACACCAGGTGTTTATGCGTACATACTCAAAATCTTGAAAGGAGAATAGAAGAGACGGGATTGTGTCGTGGCCATCTCTCCAGAAGGGTGATTTCTCATACTTTTCCTCCCTCTCTCTCTGAATGTCTCCAGCAAACGCATGTGCTCTATGGCAAAACCTAAATAAATAAATAAATAAATAAAGTTGCATTAAGGCTCATCCATGGTAGCATAGATAGTACTAGGCTGCCTGGAGCCACATGAAGACCAGGGTTCAGATCCCAGCTTGCCCTGAAACATACCAGGACCTTGTGCCTGTGCTTCTGGCTGGGGTAGGAGGTTTTAGTATGATGAGACCCCCATCAAGAGTGTTTCCTCTCTCTCATGAAAGAAAACAAAACAAAAACCCAAGTTGCATTAAGAAATAATATATCTTGGGGCCAGCAGGTGGCATAATGGTTATGTCGCTAGACTCCCATGTAGTCAACCATGGTTCAAGTCCCTGACCCAGTGGCTTTAACTCATGCCGGACATGTGTGTGCGTGCCCAAGATCCTGAGAGGAGAATGGAGGAGAAGGGATTGTGGCATGGCCATCCCCCCTAGAGGGTGAGTTCTCACTTTCTGTGTCTCTGTGTCTTTCTGGCAAAGAAAGAAATCATTTATCTAGAGTGCCGAGGTTTTTTGGTGCTCCCTTAAATTTTGCAAGGGGTTGCCCTTGCCTCAGGAACCAGGGTCTGTGCAGATTGGAACACTTTCAAGAGAAATAAAAAAGCAACTCTCTGCTACTTCCTAGGCGGGACCGGAAATGCTGTCTGTGTAAGGACACTTCCTGGGCTCAGCAGAGGGGGCTGCTGCCCGCTCCCAGCTCAGTACCAGCACGCAGCTCCCAGGTCTCTGCCGGTCAGCGGTTGTGCCCAGGCTCTTTCTCATCCTCCCTGCAGAGGCTGCCTCCAGGGACATCAGCTTTTGCTAGATCACTCCCTGCGGTTCAGGTGTGTGCCCAGCTCGGTGCCCACCCTGTCAAGAGACAGAGGGGAGAAAGCATAGTCCCTGTTGTCTGAGACCAAACTAGCCACGTGTGAGAACGTATGGACTGTGTAAAAGTGAGTACGGGGCCAGTAGGTGGCGTGGAGGTAAAGGAGCTGACTCTGGGTTTGGAGTCCTAGACCCAGCAGCTTGAAAATCACGCTAGGCGTGGTTCGTATGTGCCAATACCCTGAGAATGAAGGAGGGACTGCAGAGTGACCATACCTCGGGGGGGGGGTGACATCTCACTTTGTCTGTGGCTCTGGTGAGCGCATGTGCCCTAAGGAGCTAAAGGTTCAGGGTGAGGTGGGCAGGGGTTACTATGCTATAGAGTCAGCACTCTGTGCGTGTCCTCATCTGCCGCTGACCGCCCGGGGCCCCATGCAAGGCATTTTAGCTCTGAGAACCTTGGTCTTCTCACTTGCAAAGTGGAATGAGAGAGCAAGAGAAATGAAACAGCTGTTACTAAGGCCGTTAAAGATGGGCTTCCTTGCGACCAGCAGGTGGCTAGTGGTTGGGGCTGTCCCACGTGGCCCACCATGGTCGTAGTCTCAAACTGGGTGCATGTGCGTGAGCGCCCAAATTCCCAAAAAGAGAATGGAGGAGAAGGGATTGTGATGTGGTCATCCCCTTTGGAGGGCGATTTCTAGCTTTCATTCTCTTTTTTTTAAAGAGGGTTTTTGTTATAGGGTGTGTGCATTTGCCAGAGAGAAACAAAGAGGCAGAAGGTGAGAAATCACCCCCCCAAGTAAGGTGGCCACACTGCAATCCCTGCTCCTCCATTCTCCTTTTGGGATTTTGGACACATAGGCACACTTGTGGGGTTTTTTTTTGGAGAGGTTTTTGCTATAGGGCGTGTGCGCTTGCCAGTCAGAGAGAGAGAGAGAGAAAGCGAGAAATCACCCCCCAGAGGGGATGGCCACACCGCAATCCCTTCTCCTCCATTCTCCTCTCCAGATCTTGGGCACGCATGCACACACGCCCGGCATGAGTTTAAGCCACCAGGTCCAGGACTCGAACCACGGTTGACTACGTGGAAGTCCAGCAACATAGTGATACGCTAACTGCTGGTCCCGGCACACTCGTGTTTTAAGCCTCTGGGTTGACGACTCGAATGGTAGTCACTGCGAGGGACTCCAGCCCTGTAACCATTACGCCACCTGCTGATCCCCATTTCTTGCTTTTTTTTTTTTTTTTTTTTTCTTTTTGGAGGTTTTTGCTATAGAGTGTGGGCTTGCCAGAAAGACGGAAAGATAGAAAGCGAGACAATCACCCCCCGGGGGGATGGCCATGCCACAATCCCTTCTCCTCCATTCTCCTTTTGGGATCTTGGGCATGCACTCACACAAGCCAAGTTTGAGTTTAAGCCACTGGGTCCGGGACTCAAACCACAGTCAACTACATGGGAGTCCAACGACATAGCCATTATGCTAACTGCTGGTCCCCCCATTTCTCTATTTCTTGCTTTCTGTCTCTCTCTGGCAAGTGCCTGAGTCCTATAGCAAAAATCTACCCCCGCCCCCAGAAAAGAGCTTCGCATGCCTCAGTTGGCAGGGCCTGGGCAGGGGCTCGAGCTGCGCACTTGAAGCCTTCCAGAGCCTGGAGCTAACTAGTCTGGGAACTGTACTCACAGATTCCGCCTAACGGGTTGCCATGAGGTCAGGCGAACCAACATGCTGAGCACCGAAAGTGCTCGGCATCTCTACATGCTGGAAATATCTAGTGACAATATTCTCTAGCAATAACAGCCACATTGTTATTAGCAGGAGTATTTCACTTAGGCGAGATTTGGGCGGAACCTGGAAGGCGGAAGGGATCGCAAAAGGCGGAGGGCAGGAGCGAGGACATTCCAAGGCAGGCGTGGGCTTCCTGAGCCGGGGGCCAGCCCTCCAGGAGCCAGGGAGGGCCTGGGGCCGGAAGGTGGAGGCGTGGGGGAGGAGGACGGAAGCCTGCCGCCGGGTTCCCCCTTCACCCCCTCGTACAGAGCGCACCCTGGTGGAGGAGCAAGCCCAGCCCTGGCTTCGCGATGAATGAGAAGCTGCGGTCTTCAGGCCGGGAAGGAAAGTGAGGGGTAGGGGCACCGGGAAGGCCCAGGAAGCAACCCCAGACCTCTCCAGGCGCTGGCGGCCGGTCCAGGGGGCCGCTGCCGTTGGCCCGCCTCCACCCTTCCCTCGGCTCCTGGGTCCGCCCACCCCCGACTTCCTAGAGCTGTCCCAGTATCTGAGGCGCCCGGCGCGCCCGCCTTTTACTGTCCCCTTCCCCGGCTCTGGGATTCTCAAGCTCCGGAGCCTGGGCCGGGCAGCCAGCTGGGCAGAGAGGGAGGGAGGAGGCTGGCGGGCCTCCGAAGTCAGCTCCAAGTTACATGTGGGAAGCGGTGGCTGTGACGCAAGTTTCCAGGGGGCCCTGGGCTCGGCTAGGAGGGAGCGCGCCACAGCGGCTCCACTCCGTGCAGTTGCAATCGTGAAAAAGCAAGAGCCCCAGGCACGTACCCCAGGCCGCTTCCTTGCCGCCCCAGCACGGCGGACCCAGCAGCGCGCCCCCAGGGCTGCCGTGCGCGTAGACAGTGCACTGGGCAGTC